ACTCCACACTGGCACCTTAGCTTGAATAATTTGAAATTAGCACTGTTGAGAGTCCCACCACTCTGTCATATTGTGGGCAGAGGAAACGTACATGAGCATCAGAGTCTGATCTCCTGAGGCAGCAGAGCATGAAGAAGGCAACGAAACATCTGCACAATCACTGCAGGTGAGGAGGACCTATGTAAAAGGCAGACCAAGCTATGGCTGATTATATTATGGTATCATTAGGCATATACATGTCATTTTGTGATGTTATTTCATTACTAAGCCATGTTTACCACACGGGCACATTAAAAGGAAGAAAGAACCAATGCCAGGAGATTTGGGCTATCCCCACCAGCCTGGTGCTGGCAGAAAGGGCCTGATGGCTCCTCTCGGTGTCCCAGTCCTGTGTTTTCCTCATAGGCATCCCCTACACATGGCTAGCCCCCACCCCAGGGCTACCTCGTCTCCCTAAAAAAACACAGATGCTTCTTTCTTAAACCAAACTACTTTCTCTTTTCTGCTGCTGTTTTCCTACACGACCACGGCCCCGGCTCAGAGGCGCCCATTGACAGAAGCCGTCCCGTTCCCGCTGCCGCTCGCCGTGGCCCGGCAGAGCTGCGGAGAGCCCCGAGGCCATTGGGATGCTGCCGGTCCGGAGAGCCCGAGGCCATCGGGATGCTGCCGGTCCGGAGAGCCCGAGGCCATCGGGATGCTGCCGGTCCGGAGAGCCCCGAGGCCATCGGGATGCTGCCGGTCCGGAGAGCCCGAGGCCATTGGGATGCTGCCGGTGTGTCCGTGCGGCGGGCGGGGCTGCGGGCGTTCATTGGCCCCGTGCGGGGTGGGATGACACCGGCCCCGCTTTCCATAGGGCCTCCAGCTGCCCCGACGTCTGCCGAGGGCTGCGAGAGAATAGAGCTGAGGGGAGAAAACCATCACACTGCACCCTCTCGGCTCCAATGAGAGCGCAGGCAGCTTCAGCCTGGGATAAAAGAACTTTAAAAAAAAAGAGACTGTAGTCTTGGAGCTGCTATTAACGGGAGATGAATTGCAAGAGACCATTTCATGCCCAGGGACTTCAGAGAGCAGCATCCCCAAGAGCCATTAGCTCTCAGCAAGAGTCGTGCTGAAGCCCTTTGCTGTCAGGACAGAAGCATGCATATAAATTTTATACCATTTGTCTTTGGGCAGAAACAAAAGATCAGCTCAAAATCCTCAGCATCTTGTCTCAACTAACATGAAATAATACTGTCTTGTGTGGCTGTCTTGTTACTGGCAATAAATTTATTCATAATTTTGGAAGGTTTTGCTCTTAAAATTAAAAAAAAAAAAAAATAGCAGCAAACACATGGAGTTGAGGCTATATTTACTCCTGTTAGTGCAAATCATGCTGCTGCTAAGGATTGTGACTTTGGGAAGTGCACAGTAATTTTTTAAATTGAAAAGAAACACAGCTTTAAAAGGTTAGCTGCTACTCTTTCTTCTCCTGCATTTCATTAAACTAACTGAGGATGATACATGGAATGTATTTTCTAGTTATAACTGCAGCATGAAAAAAAGAAATTAGTTGGGATTTTTCTGTTCTTTTTCAACCAAGAATTCAAGCTCTATAAACATTTTGGGACCTAAGACTTTAATTTACTCATGAAAGAATATCTACTGGGTTCAGTAGTCAGATTAAATACAGGCTGTGTAAATATTCTGGAGAATTAAATGCTTTAAGAAAATTTTTATTAAATTAAGAATGTGTACTTAAGTAGATATTATATACATTTTTGTATTTTAGGATTTGGATATCTATAATTGGACCATATTTTATCCTATGGATTTCCTTTGTTAAATAGATATTTTAGTACTTTCTGAATGTATAATAAGAAATTAGTTCTGTGTTTTACCATGACGCTTCCATCAAACATTTTCTCATTTTATGCCCGAAAATAATGTCGTGTTAGAGCCTAAAATTAACTACAACTTAGTCCTAAATCTTATTTTACATGGAGCTCCGTGTTTGTCCCAGTGGCCGGGACTTCCACATAAGGAAGGGCTGAGGGAATTAATCTAAACTCTGTAATACTGTATGGTTAAAAGCCTCTTTCATGTAGCTGTGTTCATGAACTGAGCTTGGAATTCTTAAAAAATCCAGATTATTACAGAGAAGGGGATTTGTTGTTTGGCAAATTGACAAAGCCTGACATTCACTCACCTCATGTGCTGCTTGGCTTTACAATAAGTCTTAGATAGGGTTCACAGCACAAGGGAGGCCTGAAATATGTCAGGGACAATTAAAGAGAAAATCCCAAAGATTTCAGGTTCCATTATCCAGTGAGCTCCAGCTTGAATAGTTGCTTTTTAATTTTTCATTTCTTTTTATTCTTTCTTTGTCTCCGCCTTATTTGCTAATAGTCTGATGGCTTTTAAATTGCACCACAAACCTCCAAAAACAGTGCATCCCTTTGCAGACTCCTGTAGCACAGGCTGGTCATAAACTCAAGTAGGAAACATCAGTGTCAAAATTACATGTGGAAACATTAATATGCAAATACAGGCAAGTACAGCTGGTAGAGCTGAGGGTTGAGCTATGACTGCCTGAGCAGATTTCACTTGTTGAACCTCTGAATTCAGAGGAATGAAGACTGAGAAGGAAAACCAGCATCTTCCAGAAGGAAGTGCCTAGTGCAGAACCCAGGGAAGAGTAATTCCTGTTGTGGATTGGGACAAAAGACTGAACTGCTCAAAATCTGGGATGTGCAACTCCAGGTCTATTGTGAGACAAGCTCTTCTCAGGCAGTGATGAAAGAGCAATTCCATTTCATTTATTAATTTTTGATGTCACTTTACAGGAAAGAATTGCTACACACAGCAAGAAGCTTACTGCCTTCTTTAACCTTGCAAATTACAGTAACATCTTCTAATTGTTCCTTCAAAATCAGAAGGTGATGAAAGAGAGATTAGTGCTATTTAATAGGATCAAGGGCTTTCTACATATAAAGAGAGCAATTAAACTCAGATGCAGGTTCTGTTGGAACTTCCAGATACAGAGATGAGCTCAGCAGCCAGAGTAAAGAAAATAATGCTGTGTGCAATATGGCACAAAGATGGTTTATTTATTTTTTTGCCTCTGAAACTTCCTGAGTTAGAGCTCCCAGAATTAATTTCCAGAAGCTAAAATGTCAATCATTTCAGGGTTTTTTTTAAGGTTTTATGCTTTTCCTTGAAAAACACACTTAGTGTCCTGATATGGCAGCTGGTAGCACCCTTGTGATGACAGCCCAAGCAGCAGCTGCATGTTGTAAAAATTAATTATTCCCAGCACCACCTTCCTCTGGGAGGGAAGAGTTTATCAGGCCAACGGAATAAAGTCAGGGTTTGGGCCTGCCAGGTTGGCCACACAGGCTTTTCTTGCTGAGGGCAGCCAGGATCTTCACTTGATGACAGGAGCCAGCCAAGCCAGGACCTAGAGCAGTGGTGAAGGACTGCCACAGCTGCAATGGGAGAGCACAGGTAAAGGGTGGGTGCATGGACAGATCTGGGGAGCTGAACTAAATGTAATGAGTACATCTCATGGAGCTGCCACAGGACTAAAAGGCATCATTTCTGTTGGAAGTGAAGATCTTGGCTGCAAAGTGTTTCCAGTTCGGTTGCCTTAGATGGTGGTGCTAGCTGTTATCCAATCATGGGAGAGGATGAAAATGTTGAGATAGGAAGCAAAAAGCCACCCCCTTAAAAACAAATCTGAGGATCTCACTATGGTTTCCCAGCCTTGGGGATCTGCTGATAAGTTTGTCAGTAGAAAAACTGAACATTTGTTTGTTATTCAGCACTAAGCTTTGGTGTTATTAACCACTGTAAATGCAATTAATACAGTCTCTTGGGTTGCTATATTTTATCAGTTAGTGGTGCTAAAAGGAAGCCTTTGAGCTATTTTGGAGCCTTGGGGAAATATTGTGGTTAAACATAGAGAAAGGGATTCTCTCCTTTCTTCTCCCTCATGGGTAAACAATGAATTTGTTCAGAGTTCCTAGTTGGGTTTTCAAATGCAGAGTGATGTGGCTAATCAGCTTGGTTGCCATGGTGCTCCACCTTTGCATCTGATGGTGAGAAATACAAGCTCTAGCAGCACTGCACAAAGCTGCTGTGCCCAGACCATGGAAGTAAAACAAAGCTGAGCATTATCACAAGGTACTGTGCAATGCTCTGGCCAGCAGCCCATTCTGTGGCTGCTTGGGTGACATGCACATAAAGGGAAAGTGAGCAGTCATTAAAAAAAATAGCCATCCAGATCACATTCAGTGGTGATGACGCTTTTGCATAGTGCTTGCATAGAGCATTATCCAGCTGTTTGCTGTAAAGGAAATTGTCTTGGCACTAAGAGCTGCATGCAATAGTTCAGATCCTCGTGAGAGCCACTGGGAAGATCCTGATTACATCATAGTGGCCTTCTCACAGCCATCCTTAAAAATGTACAGAAAGAGTCTGCAACTGTTCCTGGTCATAGGCAGATGTCTAGGGCTGTGTAGGACCCCAGACAGCTGAGGGAAACTAGCTTTCCTTACCAAAATTACCCCATTTTGTGTGGATAGAGTATCTCTCGAACGTCTCTTTCCCCAGGTAAAACAACTTCCCTATTTAAGCACTATGCCATTAGCTGGGTGAAATATCATTCATCTCCTAAATCCAGTTCCTGTACCTAGATGCTTCTGAGTTTCTCAACTTTTCTTTTGTTATCTGGTTTCTCACCCAGCCCTGTTCAGAGTTCTTTGGAGATAGTTGCCCAACTGTTCTGTGGGAAACAGGACAGGACTGGTTCATGTAGCTTGTGAAATCTCTGTCAGTAAGAAAGGTTTTTCTAGGACTTACTGTTCAGGGAGGTCACAGTCATTTCTTATTCTGGTATAAATGTATGGTTTTCTACTTGGGTGATTCCAGTGTAACTTTAACTCACACGGGTCAGTTTCACACTTGTAACGGCGCTGCAGGTGTTACAGGGCTTTGACGAGACAAAGAATTCCGCCAACTTCTTGTCACAAAATAGTTACCGTTTTATTGGGGAGTAAAAGAGGAGAGTGAACAAAGTCGGGGGACAGTGGCAGGCGAGGCCGGGAGTGTTCGGGCGCGGAGCCCGGGCGGCCGCGCTCCCTCCCGCCGGCCGGAGCGGCTCAGCCCTCCCAGAAGCCGACGAAGAAGCTGCACAGCGAGTGCCACCGCTCGGCGCAGTAGGTCTGCGCCGGGTCCTCGGTGGGCTCCGGGCCGGGGGCCGGCGATGCGGGGCCGGGGTCGGGCAGCAGGCGCAGCTGCGCCTCGGGCGGCGCACGGCCCGGGCCGCAGAGGCGGGCGCGGAGCGGCGCTCCCGGGGCGCAGGGGTGCTGCCGCCGCCGCAGCCGGGACAGGATCTGCCGCCAGTACTGGCGGCTGCGGGCGCGGAAGGCCGGGCAGCGCCGCGGCTCCCCGCGGTAGGCGCAGCTCCGCGCCGCCCCGCCGCCCGCCGCCCGGCAGCTCAGCCGCAGCTCGCTGGCCCCCGCCGCCGAGCGCAGCTCCCAGCGGCACCGGTGCTGCTCCGGCGTGGAGAACCGCCCCGCCCGCGCCTCCTCCGCCGCCTCCCGGTCCGCGCCGCCGCCGGCGGCCCCCAGGGCGGCCAGGGCCGGCAGGACCAGCAGCGCCAGCGGCAGCCTCATCCTCGGCGTGCCTCAGCGACGGGATGTCCCGGCGCGGATCCCGCCTTCCCGCCGCATCTTCCGCGGGCCCTGCGGACACACGGACCGTGGCGGGGGGTGCCCCGGCGGGAGCGCAGCCTCCGGGGTCGCGCCAGACCGAGCCGCCCGCGGAGAGGGCTTATCCCTCCCTCGTAACCCCCGGGGCTTTTAGTACGTGTCCGTCCATCCTTTAGCTCCGTCCCAGGACCACCCCGGCCAGGAAGCCGTAACTGAACAGCATCAGCCGGAGCCCGCGCTCGCCGGCTGCGGCATCACAGCTGCGAAGGGCATCAGACCCGGCTAGGGGCAACCCCGTCCTTTCCCCCTCACCCGGTTTTCCCCACGCACCTCGGTGCTTTCCGCCCAGTCCCGAGGCACTCACGGTGCGCTGTGCGCTGCGGGGACAGGCGTGCGCGGCCGCTCCGCGCTGCCCGGCTGCCCGCGGCGGGCCCGGCACGGGAGTTATCAATGCTCGGGGGCTGCCCCCGCCGACGCCCCTCCCCGGCCGCCGCCCGCGGGGGGACAGCGCGGGGACACGCCGGGAGCGCTGCGCCCCGACGGCACCGGCTCGCGGGAAATCGCCGGACACACTCGCGCTTTGTTCGAGGAAGCCGCACGCCGGTACCACAAAGCCAAACTGCGGGCGCGGCCCCTGCCGAGGTGGCGAGGGAGTCCGGGAGCCGAGCTGGGCTGCGGCAGCTCGGCATCCGCCGGGCCGTGGGGACAATGGGCGTGCGCCTGCTGCATGGCAGTCTATTCATTTATTTTCCTTTACAATTCATGGAGTTAAAAGGGATCCTCGTTTCGGAAGGAGAATATCAGTGTGGATTATTTAGGACGATTTTTAAAAAAAATGTGGTAAGAGTCTTTGCCATAGGATGTGTTTAAAAAATGCCAGAAGTTTCAAAAGAGCGTAGACATAACCTTTATGTTACTGCACGTTTGGGGATGGGATATCAGACACCAGTTTCAGAAGTCTCTTTCAGAATTAGGATCTCAAGACCCACATGTACTTCTGTTTCATGGGTGGTGATGTACTTTACACATCTGTTCCAAACTCCTTATTGTTCTGACCCTGTCACTCAACAATGACAGGCCCTCAAATTACCAGCAGCTCCCTGCTGCCCTCACAGTATTGGATGAACAGATCAAGAACAGCCCTGCCCGGAAAGACTTGGGAGTGCTGATGGATGAGGGGCTGGATATGACCCAGCAATGTGCACTGACAGCCCAGAAAGCCAAATGTGTCCTGGGCTGCATCCAAAGCAGCGTGAGGGAGGGGATTCTGCCCCTCTCCTCTGCGAGACCCCAGCTGCAACACTGCATCCCACTCTGGGGTCCTAGCGCAGGACAGAAATGCACCTGTTGGAGTGGGTCTAGAGGAGGGCCATTAAAATAGTCAGAGAGCTGGAAGACTTCTCCTGTGACAAAAAGGAGAAAGATGGGGAACAACTTTTAGCAGGGCCTGTTGTGATAGGACAAGGGATAATTTGTTTAAAAGAGAGCAGATTTAGATATATATAAAGAAGCAACTTTTTACAATGAGGGTAATGAGACACTGGAACAGGTTTCCCTGGCAAGCTGTCTATGCCCTGTCCTCGGAAAGATTTGAGGCCAGGCTGGACAGGGCTCTGAGCAATCTGATCTGGTTGAAGATGTCCCAGCTTGTTAAGGGGCTGAACTAGGAGACCTTGAAAATTCCGTCACAACCCAAGCCATTATATGATATGACCCATACTATGATATGGCAAGAGCAGTTGATATTGACTCACTGACCTTTCTGTGCTGTAAGTGTACAGAAATTAAAATTTAAAGAGTCTTTTAATTAAAATTTAATTAAAATTAAAAGACTTCTGCAGAGTCTGAGAGACTGAGAGAATGACTGCTGGAGAGGAGGTGGGATTCTCTAATTCAGAGGTGGGGGACCATTTTCAGATAGCTCTCCCACTTCCTAACTGCATTGCATAGTTAGAGCTCTCCCTAGTTAGTTGTTTGGAGTGGGAGAGAAACAGCAGAGGAGAGAGGACCATGAGAAGGAAATAAAGTATCTTGGGCCAAAAAACTCGTAGGAGATGGTTTACAACCTAGAATCGCAAGGAAGAAGCTGCCTGGAGTTACATACATACATCTGAAGGACAAGGCTGATCTGACTGTTGGCTGTGTGGCTCCTTTTCCAGCATGCCACATTGTGTATTTCACTTTCATGGGTGCTGAGGACTCCCCATGGGCTGTAGGAGAAATCTTGGCCTCTGACTGAGGGCGGTGGGTACCATGAGGCATCATACAGGACTGCATTGTGACTTTTAAAATTGTCTATGGCTCCAGTGAGTACAAGGCAAATCATGTGCCTTGGCTTATTAGTTCACTAAACATTGGAGTTGTTTTCAAATAAAGTTCTGACCACCAGTAGTGGTTATATATTATTACACTGAGATCTCTGTCTATTTTTCACATTCTTGCTGCTGTTTATGCAGTGTGAAATGGAGTTGTCTAGTATGTTTGATACAATTTTATGGTAGATTATCCTAAGTGTATCAGCTTTGAAGGAAAATTAACATTTTCCTGTGTGTTTTAATGAGCACATTGCTGTAATATTTTTGGGACAATTTACTTTACATCTCATACAAGTCATCAAACTACAGGAGCTAAGGAAAGAATATAAACCAGAATGAGATTTATCTAGCCTACTGCAAAGATAACTAATCTTCCTTAATATTTTTTGCCATATTCTCTTGCTCCCATATTTACACACACACCTTGCTCCATGATTGTGGCTTCTCTTTTGCAGTAAAGTAGGTGTTAGTCTTTGATGCTCATTGCTTTTATATGAATTTTCCTGCACAAGCTGCAGTTTTCTCTCTTGGATTTGATGGGGATACAGTGGGGGGAAGATCTTCCTTACATTTCTAAAATCACTGTGTCCTTTTGTTCTCAGTTTAAATCTAGTTAGTCTGTGTTACTGTTGTAGCTCGGTTTTGACCACACTTTCCCTACTGTCCCCCTATGTTAGAATAACCTTTATAGCCCTAGAAGTAGCTGGTTATGGTTATCTTTGAACACATGATTAGTGTGCACTGTGGCAGAGATATTCCCTTGCCTCTGCAGAGAGCCTGAAACAAATCCCTGAGGAGTTAATGGGCCTGTCCATCTGAGCAAATGAAATAAAGAGTGCGCTTTACCATGTGAGCTCTGCAATGAGGACTTGGAGATATACCATGTTGGATGTAACCTGGACTTCAGACCAGATTCTAAACCAGATTCAAAGCTAATGTGAACACTGACAGGACCAGCCTTAAGCATGACACTCGGTTCAGTGGAGACAGTGCAAGATGCTGATCTGAAACACCTACACAAAGCCAAGATGATGGATGCTGATGGAGTAACGTCTGCAGGAAAGCATGAAAGGCTGCAGGAACCACAAGCTGAATGTGAGACAACAGTGTCACACAATAGCAAAAAAGGCAAACACATGAAGATATCAGCCATGAGACACGGGAAGTAAGGCATGGGCTAAAGCCAGGCTTTGAATGGTGCATTGTATCCAGTTTAAGCATTACTTTTCAAAAAAAGACAAAGACAACTGAACTGAGTCTGTAAAAGAGCAATGAGAGTATCACAGACCGAGAAAACTTGATTTATGATGAGGCGATTTAAACAAGGGGCTTGTTAACATAACAAAGAAAGGAACTGAGAAGGCAAATGGTAAAAATTGAATCACTGATTAAAGGTATCTCCTTAGGTATCTTTTTATTTCAGAAGTTCAGACCATAGCCTTAATCACATTTTTCATTGGTGAATGAATGAATTATCGTGTTAGGTTTTAACTCTGAAGAATCTATATTTAGAGGCCCCTTTGCAGACTTTGAAGACAATGCATAGGAAACTGTTACAGCTTTGACTTCAGGGTTTTGATCTTTAAAAATTCAGTTGAATTAATAATTTGTATTTTAAAAAAACATAGTCACTATGAAAAATAATATCCATCTCTCTTATTCTAACCTCTAGGATTGCAGCAACAACTGCAAATGATTGCAAAATAGTTTTGTTTTATGAGTGGAAAGAAGTCACAGTTTCCAGCCTTGCCATTATAAAATCCTTCTCAGAGAAGTGGGTAGTGTAAACAATATTTATGATTCATAAACTGAGATGTTTTAAATACACAAGACCATAGCTGTGTTTAACCTTCTTGTTTGAGCTATCAATCTTCTGATTTCTTGGTACTGGCTCAAGAGAATAACATCATTTTTAATATGTCTACAGGGAGATAGATTGAACTTCTCAATTACCTTTAGATCCTATTTAAGCACGTCTCTACAGTCAGACTGATGCCTTTGTCCAGGTTTTTGACATGTTTGTGTGTTGTTTCTTTCATTCCCTGACAATCAAGTACCACTGAAATTCAACCCAACTTTTAGTTCAAGTGGTAGCTTTTTGCAAAATGATAGTGCCCTACACAGGTGACTGAGTTTCCACATCCAACACGGTCTGGTTTGTGTCTTTTCTTCTGTTAGGCAGTTAAAGTTGCTTTCTCCTCTCTGCATCCTCGTCTCTCTGGGCCTAAAAGGCTCAATTAGAAATGGAAAAGAATTTTTCTATACCCTAGCTGAATAAAAGAGCACAATGATGAGACCTTTAGAATGACTGGATCAGGCAGTAACAGAATCATAGTAAATACCACAGGATGTCCTGCAGGGAAGGAGCTGCTTGTAGTGCTTGGAAGATGCAGGTAGCAGGCACAATAAAGTAGTGGGATTGAAGGCTGAAATTTAGGGAAAATCCATTTTGTGGTACAAAATTGCATGCATGATGTTAGATGCTCAGCCCAAGGGCTGAAAAAATCACAATGTCTCCTTCTGCCCAACACATCCAGTTCTCCCCAGTTAACTCCTTGGGGGTACTAAAGTTCCTGTATTTTACATGGTAACCTGTATCACTAGACTGATGTTATAGAGCCTTTGCTCCTGGAGCAATATGCCATGCAGGACTTCTCACCTTTCTTAGCACAGGTGATACCCTTGCCAAGAGTGATGGGTCTTCTGCCTCTAAAATCCTATCGTGTAAGTCAGCATATAAGGCTGAAAACTGCCTGTTTCTTTGAAAACACTCTTACAGCTGAGGCTCAGAGACCGCAACGAGCATTTCTTGAAAGGAATTATGATTTTTCTAAGTAATGCAGAAACATTAGTGTCAATAATCAATGGCATTAAATTATGTGAAAATTTTACCCTGTACTACTATTCTACATCCAAGGGGTTTGGGGTTTTTGGGTTTTTTTTTAGTGGATATAGGTTGCCTTCATCTTATGTCAGTGTGTTTCCCAGGAGTGACTCATGATTGGACTGCAGGGGAGTAGGAATGTTGTAGCAACACCTAGACAGAATATATGTTTGGAAGTGTATGACTTGAGGCATTGTTTGAGCTCAGCTTGTGCCACCCCAAAATTAATCATTACAGCTTTATAAAGTAAGGCAT